TGGAAGCACACACTGGTTGGTTGTTTGGTCGGATTCTTGAACGAAATAATTAACTTCAATAATTGCTTTAATTTTATTAAACTTGGTCCACTGAACCTGGTTTCCAGGAACCACTCCTCCCCAGAAGGCCATGTCCACAAAACACTTCCCCGTCGCCTCCTTCAGCTTCTCTTCAAAGTTTCGAAGTGTTGTGGTTGGGGGGATGCTGTTCCTGTGGGAGGTGTAACCAATCCAAACAGCAGTCCCCAAAAATGTTAAATCTTTTTCATATGACCTCATTCATCTGTATGCCAGAGATTGTTTATCTCTGTTAGTTATCCCAAATTAGGACGTTAATCACTTTGAGTCAATCCGCAGCCATCTTTCCCAGGTGGACATGTCTGCGGGTCTAGTTCTGGAGAGACAATTTCAACCCTTTGTTTATATTTAGGTAATATTAGATTCATTAACTGTTTTTTTAAAATCAGGTGTTTTTTCTTTATGTCTTTTCTGGACAGCTGACGTGAAAGGATCTAAAGGATGAAAAGTCAATATTTATTAAAGCGACTTGTTGATGAGATTGCTCAGTCATATTTTTTAGATCTAAGTGATGTCTTCAATGTTTAATGGCCTTGAAATTAGCTGCTCAGGCTTAATTAAGTCACTCCAGACAGATCTTGTAAAGCATAACCTTTGTAACTATCACATTTGTATGATCTCTCTTCAACAATGAACTTTTACTTACATTTATTTCTCAATGAGTTTGTTTTACAGAAACTGACCGATTGATTTCTGGTGGTGAAAGTATCCAACTTACAGGGGCATGTCCACGAGGGTCGTCACCCCTCCTGCTGCAGCGGCCCTGGTGGCCGTCCAGAAACCCTCCCATGAGGCGCGGCCCGGTTCGTTCACGTGAACATGAGAGTCCACAATACCTGGCATCACCAGGCTGTTACCCACATCCAGCACCTGCAGTCAAATGTGGGCTTTCAGTTCATTCAAAATTACACATGTTCAATCTGTACACCGGCTCACAGAAAGGACGTCTGACCAGCTTACCTCACAGCCAACATCCTTAGAAAAGTTGCTTGAAGAGATGATTTGGTGTATTCTTTCATCTTTGATTACTACAACGGCAGGTCTCACTTCGTCACCAACCAGAACTCGATTACTCTTGACAGCACTCACATTTGACCCAAGCTTCATGTCTGTTTTGACTGAGTGTTAATGAGTACAACCGACTCCCCGAACCATATCTGTACAAGATAAAATCTCTGCAGCTCAGTGGCTGGGAGCTGAAGCACCACCTCCCTGATGTTTCGGTCGGACGATAAGCTTATGTTGACTTTTTAAAGGAGCGGTCCGACATTGCAATCACACACAGCTTAATTTCACATTTATTACTGTGCAGTAATCAACATTTATTGCCACTGACAACAAAACAAAATATGTTTACACTGTGCAATATTTTACTTTTTAATAACATCCAATATTATTCCTTCTTTTGCAGATTTCATAGCTCTGCAGAGTACCCGCCCCACCATCTTGTACAATTTCAGAAATTCTTTTATTTATTTTTTTGCTTTTGCATGTATTTTTATTTTTTTTTACATTTTGTTTTCTTTATGTTTTCTCTGGGCGCTCCAGTGGATTAGTGGTGTCCAACCCTGGTTCCCAAGGGCCCCTGTCCAGCATGTTTTAGTAGTTTCCCAGATCCCACACACCCGATTCAACAGTTTGACAACACTCTATTGAATAAAAATTGTGACAAGCCAACTTTCCCCAACATAAAAAAATTAGAATAAAAAAAAACGGGCCGCACAAGGGTTTGTTGAGACTGCTACCCTTGTGTTTGCGTGGGGTTTTCTCTGGGTGCTCCAGTCCCCCCCCCCCACCCCCCCCCCCACCCCCAACACACATTCCCAAAACACTGCTGTCTGTGGAGGCTGTGACAGCAAAACGTAAAATACACAAAGTATGGCTGCATGGTGGTGCAGCTGTTAGCACTGCTGCCTCGCAGCAAGAAGGTTTCAGTTTCGAAACTTGGCTGTGGCCTTTTTGTGTTCTCCGCATGCATGCGTGGGTTACTTCTGGTTTCTCTGGTTTCCCACACAGATCACAACATGCCCCATAGCAGAGATTTTCAATTCCGGGCCTAGAGTCCCTGTGTCCATCACGCTTTAGTGGTTTCTCTGCTCCAACACACTAGATTCAGTAGTTGAATCGCCTGTGCAGCAGCTCATCAGGCTCTGCAGAAGCCTGTTAATCACCTACTGATTGAAACCAGGTGTGTTGAAGCAGGGTTAACCAAATCCCTCGAGGCCCGGCACTAACTAACCTGGTGTGAATAATTACGAAAGACAAAGATGGGGGTGAACCAGAGCACCCGTCACGCCTGATACTTAAAACTTAATTGTTATTGTTTTTTGGATGCTTTGGACGGAAGAGTGTCTTCAGTCAGAGGCTTCTTCAGTTTCGCTGCAACACTGACCGCTACTGGAGATCCTTCCTGCCAACAGCCATTGTAATATACAATAACTCTTTGATGACTTGATTATTATTATTATTATTATTATCCTGAGCTACTACAGCAATCAATTTCCCTCTGGGATTAATAAAGTATTTTTGAATTGAATTGAATTATAATTCCGACCAGACACGGAGACAGAGGTGAAAGAAAAAGTAAGAGACAAAAGGAGGAGGGGGGGGGGGGGGGTCCACAAAAATAAACAATCAATGATGAAAAAGAGTCTGCTTCTAGACCTGCAGAAAGACAAAAACAAACAAACAACAATACAACAAGAGCAAACTATCACTGTGTCAACCTGATGAAGAAATATAAAATCAACATTGTTTTACTGAACAATCACACGATAATAAATCAGAGTGCATTTAGTGCCAACCACAGCCTTAAGACAAGTGTTGAACGTGCCCAAGCCCATACTTATGAGAGCACCATGTGAGCACCTGTGTGTGTACACGCGCTTGTTTATGTAAGGTTTCTCTATAGGAGCGTCCAATAGAGAGTGTGAGGGGCCACAGATCTGCCCCCTAAAGATGTGTAGGAGACAGAGGGAGCTCCAAGTCCCAGAGATCCAGGAGACACAAAGTAATTGTTTTCTGTGACATAACCCTTTGTTATTTGGTTTTTACAATTTAAGTGTAAAAGTGTGTACTCTCGAGGCCTGGCGATGGGCAGTAGTCGAGGGCGGGGACCTTGGTGGTCTGATCCTCGGCTACAGAAGCTGGCTCTTGTCACATGGAATATCACCTCTCTGGTGGGGAAGGAGCCTGAGTTGGTGTGTGAGGTTGAGAGGTTCCGACTACATATAGTCGGACTCACCTCAACACATGGCTCTGGCTCTGGAACCAGTTTCCTTGGGAGGGGTTGGACTATCTAACACTCTGGAGTTGCTCCCACTGAGAGGCGCTGAGCAGGGGTGGGCATACTAGTTGCCCCCCATCTTGGTGCCTGTACGTTGGGGTTTACCCCAGTGAATGAGAAGGTAGCCTCCCTCCGCGTACGTGAGGGGGGACGGGTTCTGACTGTGGTCTGTGCTTGTGCACCAAACTACAAACACTGAGTCTAAATGGACCCTGTTCCGTGCCTCCATTGTTGAGGCGGCCTACCGGAACTGTGGTCGCAGGATCGTCGGTGCCTGTCTTGGTGGCAACCCCCGAACCCGCTGGTGGACACTATGTCTCTCACCTGGCCAGGGAACGCCTTGGGATTCCCCCGGAGGAGCTGGCCCAAGTGGCTAGGGAGAGGGAAGTCTGGGCCTCTCGCCTTAGGCTACTGCCCCCGCAACCCGACTCCGGATAAGCGGATGAAAATGGATGGATGGATGGATGGATGGATGTAGTGTGTACTCTTACAGGAAAGATTTGTGTGGCAGATGACAGACAATAGATAGGTCCGTGTGCCGGTGTGCTGGGGGACATTTAGGGTTGCATCTGGCTTAACCAGATATCTGCCCACAGTGTCTCGGGTCAAATATAAAACCACCAAATCAGGGGAATTGAGGTAACTACTTGAGGTTGTATCTGCTTGGCAAATGTTACAGCTCTTCCCAGTTGGATTGTCCATCAACATGCATTGCAGGAGTGTTGGTGTTGTCATTTCTTTGTGTCATAATCATAAGCTGTCTGCTTTAGGAATACGCCTAAAATCAGCCATCACCCATAAAATCCCTGTTTGTGCTTTCCCAAACAGCGATTTTAGCATAAAACAACCTTTCACCTCATAATGGAGAAGCAACAGGTCTTCTCTGAGCTCCTCCCAGATATCGGAGCTTCTCAGCTTATAGCAGCCTGATTGGGGCCAACCAGCTCCAGCTTATTAAGTGACAGAGGTTCATTATGGAAGGTAATGAAAATGTCAAGATTAACGCTGCTGAATTTGCTTTTTCGTGAAAGAGATGCTGTCGATTAAGCTCATGAACATGTTTTGTATCAACCACAGAACTATCATAATTTTTGAAAAGTCATAACATATATCTTTAAAAAACTAAAGAGCACTCATTTCTTTTTTATTCGATTCCAGGCTGATGTGAGTTGATCTGTTCTGATGGAGAACACGTCTGGAGTGATGAGTACAGTAGCATCACATCCGGTTACTGTAGAAGTCTTTAACTGATGAAATGAAGATCATGGAGCCACCTGTTCAGTTCCGCCAGACTTCCGTCTAATTTCTTTATTTCTGCCCCCTCCCGGCACACATTCACTTCCCCACCAGTCCGATGGCGCCCCTAGAGGTACCATCCTCAACACCTCTACACCTCCCCCTTTTAGCTTGCTAAACTCTTTACTTGTAAGATAACCTTGTACCCAAAGTAACAGTATCATTCTAACAGAAACCTGACTTATAGTCCAGTGTTTACAACCAAGCATTTTCAACTCTTTTGTATTAACAATATAATCTAACATGAACACCTTGTTTTAGAAACATCACCCTTTTGTTTTAGGGGTCAACTAGAACAAGAATATTCACAAGTCCAGTCTTTCTGGTGGGCAGGAAACCCTTCCTAACCTGGTCACAGCTGTAATGATTTAAATTACATGTTATTTGATAAGCCATAAGACAAAATATTCCATAGCAAACATGAAATCAACCTTATGGATCTGTGAGGTTATTTTAAACCAGAAGATTGGAACTTTTTATTGCAGGGATTAGATAACAGCTTCGTATTCAGTCAGAGACAACAGAAGAGAGAGAGTTGAGTTTAAAAGTTTAAAGATTTATTACTAAACAAATTAAACTAGACTAACTTTAACACTAAATGTATGGTGTAACTAAGGTGAATGAGACGGAGAATGGTGTAGTGTGGGATGTTGTTCAGAACCAGCAAATCCGAAGAAGCGACTAGTTCTGATGGGAACTGAAGGTGAGATTCATAAACACATTCAACGTCATTTTGTCGGCCTACATACCCTGAGCGGAAGTCCCTGTTAGATCAGGAATGTCGAGGTCCAGCTTGACCTTCTCTGGAACCGAAGCTGGTAGGAAACGCAGCGGCTGCCGACCAGACCAGTCTTTGAGATACTTCCGGGTCATAACGGTTTTGTTGGCATCTGGTGAGACCCAAACCTGGTTCATGATGGTTCAACTTTTATTCTGAAAGGAACTGTTGCAGCAGTTGGAACAGCAACAGATCTTATCCAGCTTGTCGTTGGTTCTTTTGGCTGAAGAGGAAAGTTACGGATTGGCCACTCCGACAACTTCTCTAGAACGCTTTGAACTGGCGTTAAAGATGACGTGGGCATAGTTTTATACTTCGGATGTTTTGGTTTATGGTCGAATGAAAAGTTGACAGATTTACCAAGCACCACCAAAACCACGCCTCTGTCAGATCTGGCAGATTCTGATTGGATCAGTGAATGCAATGTGTCATGTCTTTTAACGCTATGTGAGATCAGTCCTAGAGGAACATTTAAAGTCATATTACTTATTATATTTTATAGGATTATAATAAAGTAATTGTTTAGATTTCTTAGATTGGTCACATCTTATTTAATGACTAACACTTTGTTTGATTAGCTTATTAAAATAGAGTTCTTTGATTTATTAAAAGGACAGAGTCCATTCTTCCTTCTTCTCTTGAGCTGGAAAGAAGCAGTTATAACCAATGCATGAGACCTTGAGGCCATATCTCATGCAGTCTAGTTCTGTGTCAGAGGAGAGGGGGAAAATGACTTTTGGTGGAAAACAGTCATTTCATACCGTTACATATCCCCCCTTTTCAATGGTACAGTGGACCATACCGTTACACTGTGGTACCCAGGAGTCTCTGTGTCAGGTCTGACACCGGCTCCTCAGAGCAAGGCAGATCGGTCTCAGGGAGTACAGTCAGGTGAACCTTGTTTCTTCTAAAACTCCCTTGCTCGGTTTCCACTACATAAGACCTTGGGGTTGAGGCCGGACCCTGGACCGTAGCTGTGGACTGTGTTGCTCTGATCTACACTTTTTGGCCTGGAATCAGAACTGGTAAGTCTTTGGCCTTGTGCCTCCTATCGAACAAATTCTTCTGCCTCTCCTTCAACTCTTTATCCCTTTTCCTGAAGGCTCCAAGGTTCGGCCAGGCTGGATTCAACGCCTGTGCTGTGGTGGGAACCGTGGACCTTATCCGCCTCCCCATCAGCAGTTGAGCTGGACTCAGTCCATGAGCTAACGGCATAGCTCTGTAGGCTAAGAGAGCCCTCTGAGGGTCTGGACTTTTACTGAGCAGCTGTTTGACCGTCCGGACGACTCTCTCTGCTTCCCCGTTGCTCTGAGAGTAACGAGGGCTACTGGTCACATGCCGGAAACCATAGTCCTGGGCAAACGAGCTAAAGTCCGAGGAAGCAAACTGCAGGCCATTGTCTGTCACCAGGCATTCCGGCATGCCTAATCTTGCAAAGATCACCTTCAGCCGCTCCACCGTTGTAGCTGTTGTGAGAGATGGAAGGTTGGCTACTTCGATGTATCGGGAGAAGCAGTCCACATCCACAATATAATGGCTGTTTTTCCACTGAAAGTTATCAACCGCTACTTTTTGCCACGAGCGTGGTGGTAGAGGCGTAGTCATCAGTGGCTCTGTCTTTGTTTGTGAAAACTGGCAGCAGATTTCACATCTTTCCACCATGTCTTTGATCTGTCGTGTTATCCCCGGCCACCACAGGGATTCTTGTGCACGTGCCACACATTTAGTCACCCCCTGATGGCCTTCATGCAACCTGTCCAACATGTCTGTCTGCATGCATGCTGGAATCAAAGTCATCTTGCCTTTGAGAAGGCCAGATGAAGATCAGTCCTTTCAGGCCAAAACGGAAGAAGGTGCTCTGGGACGTTCCTCCTGTTGGAGGGCCAGCCGTTTTCAGTAAATGTTTTCAGCTGTTTACAAACGCTGTCGGTGCTCTGAATGTCCATGATGTGAGCCAATTTACTTTTTGTGGCAGGTAGTTGTTGAAGGATGTGGTCAACATACATACAACATTCCTGCTGCAAGCTGCTATTGGCTTCTCTGTCCTCCAGTCCTTGAGGAGCTCTGGAAAGAGCATCTGCTGTGACAAGAAGTTTATCAGGGACATGAATAATTTTGTAGTTGAACCTCAGCAGTCTGAGCCTGAATCTTAGGATTCTTGGTGGTAGATCGTCTAAGGCCCGAGAACCTAAGAGGGAGACCAGAGGTTTGTGGTCGGTTCTCACTGTGAACTCCAAACCTAGCAGGTATGAGCTGAGTCGTTCACAGGCCCACGTTGCTGCAAGAGCCTCTTTTTCAATCTGGGCATATTGTACCTCTGTGGGTGTCAGGCTCCGTGGTACACCGTATTTTGCGGACTATAAGCCGCTACTTTTTTCCCACACTTTGAACCATGTGGCTTATAATGAGGTGCGGCTTTTCCTTCACCTGCCAGGGGGCGCTGTAGCAGAAAATGAAACAGGTGGAAGTCAAAAGTGGAAATCGAAGAAAGTGCTCATTTTAATTTAGCACATGCAAGGAGCCGGCACGACGAAAATTTTTTTTCAAATCCACACCCCCTCATCATGGTAACTACACGTATGAGTTCATATGATGCCGCACTTAAGTTGAAGGCCATCGATCTGGCAGTAAAGGAGGGAAACAGTGCTGCCGCACGTAAGCTTGGCATGAATGAATCCATGGTTCGGCGCTGGAGACGGCAGCAGGAAGAACTCATTCAAGCCAGCTTCACCCGGGATGATGACAGCAACACGGACAGCGACGCTGACATCGCCACAGAAAAGGTATGTGACGAAGCTCTTCTGAGGCTGTTCAACTCCGACACTGAAGAAGAGGACTTTAACAGCTTTAGAGCGCAAGAGGAAGATGAGGGCGAATGACTTCTTCTGGTAGACAAGTGTGTTTTATTTACTAACCAGGCATGTTTTGTGTGCAGTTTTTATTTTCTAACCATCCAGGGCTTATTAATTCTGCGTCAGCGCTGTTCTTTTCT